AGGAGGAGGAAGAAGAGGAGGAAGAGGAAGAAGAGGAGGAGGAGGAAGAGGAGGAGGAGGAGGAAGAAGAGGAGGAGGAGGAGGAAGAAGAGGAGGAGGAGGAGGAAGTAGAGGAGGAGGAGGAAGAAGAGGAGGAGGAGGAAGAAGAGGAGGAGGAGGAGGAGGAGGAAAAGGAGGAGGAGCACAACTGGTATCTGGATTCCTCACATGGTCATAGGTCCAGAGCTTTGTTCTACTATTGCATCCTCGAATAGATATTTCCCAGATCCCACCCCAAACCTCTCCATCCTCTCAGCTTCCTTCATATTTTTAAGTAAAAATTGACATTATATTATATATTAATATTCCTACTCTCACAAGACTGGAGTTCTATAAAGTCAGATACTGTTTTCTTCACCATTGTATTCTCTGAGGGAAAATAGCATATGCTTAATGTGAGATGCGTGCATGTTGGGTGATTACTGAACAAAATCTAAGGCTCCATACTTCCTATGGCATAGGAAAGGACACCTAGGAGGCAGAGGCATTTTCTTACCATTCGGTCAGCTGTATGGCATAGTCACAGCTGGCATCACAAAGCATTGCTCTAATACCAACCTTTCTCAGGACCACCCACCAATCTCTCCTGACTCATAGCAGCTTTTGGCTCTCCTTTCTCACATCCTTCCTGAGACAGCTCCTTCCCAAGCAATGGGATCCACATACTGTCACAAGATAATCATACAATGGCAATGGCTGGGCCTTCCCCATATTCTTACTCCCAACCACCACAGAGGATTCTTGACCCATCCAGGCCAATGCAGCCCACCACTCACTGAATCTAAACCCCATATGTCTATCTATTCATTCTCCAACATGACCAAGACCATAAGATGAAAACTTACTCGGCATTCACGACAGCTCTTCGTTAAGATTCGTTGGCCTTCTGCAAGAACTTTTCCTCCATAAATACATTTTGCTGTAATAAAACAGAAAAATGGGTCAGTCTGTCATGCTCTGCTACAAAATGAACTCAAAGGTGCCATGTAACTCAACAGGTTTCACAGAAACATTGATTCTAAGCAATGCAAATCTGTTTACGAAAAGTAAGGTGTAAAATAGTTTGGGGGATAAACCTTAGATTCCCAAATCAGATCTCATCTCAAATGTGTTTGCCTAGCATTCACATATAGGACATATGGGACATAATTAGTTTAAAGTTGCAAGCACTAAAGGACTAGAGTATGAATTGCTGTGGTCAGAGGTTAAAACCAGGAAGATTTGACTACAATTACCATTGAGTAAAATTAGCAGCACTTTTGATTCAGACATTGCAACTATTAAAAGAAGCAGACTCAGTGACAGGGAACTTCATTTATGTTGCATTCATCAGAACGCAGTCTCAGTGGAGGAGAATCCCATTTATTTTTTCCTTATCATTATAAAGAATAGGTGTCTTAGCTTATGTGTTTTTAAGACAGACAACTTTGACATGCAAGCTAATCCAGTAAACTGCTACATGGATGCACTGCAGAGACTGCTGTTAGAAAGGTGAGTTTAACAAGCGAACAGGGAGGACAGAAGGCAGAAATAGACTTTGAAGAAAATTTCAAAGAGAAGCATAAGTGGAACTTTAACAGGGATCCCAGAGACTCAGTCCCTTACTTAACATGCTGATACACTGTAAGCAAGCACAGAATATGCCCATTTGATATAAACCCACTCAACAAGAACAAGCAATGGCTGATTCTTTTCTCTCCTGCCCTAATGCAGTCCTTCCAGCCCCCTTATTCAGAAGAAGCTGAAATGGTGATATGCACTCAGAGATCTCTCCCATTAAAACTAATTAACATCTCTCAGGCCCTCTGTTTCTGTATCTGTTAAAAAAGGGGTTGTTGGTGGCTCACACCTATAATCCTAGTGAACTGGGAGGCTAAAATCTGAGGATTGTGGTTCAAAGTGAGACTCTTATCTCTACTTAACAAAAAAAGGGAAAGTAGAGAACTGTGGTAGAGAGCTAGCCTTGTGCAAAAAAGTTCAAGCATATAGTACTTAGACCTTGAGTTCAAGTGACAGAACTGGCACAAACAGGGAGGGGTGTTAATCTAGTTTGGTTTTCTAGTTCTATAATCTTCTGATTCTCATGAATGTTCAAGTGTGCATAATCCTTGTAAACAGCTAGTTCAAACCCTTCTTCTTAGCCACAAGGAAGGAAAACTGAGAGACAACGGTCCACTAATCATCATACTTCTGCAGTAGGGGCTGTGTGCTGTGCTATCCAGAGCAAAAGACACATGTGTGCAGCTGTTGGAACAGTGGCACAAGCATGTCTCTCAGCCTAAGGGGACCATAGAACCCTGTGGGAACTATGACTAGCTGCAGATTTGACTGCGTGCTTCAAGTAGAATGTCTGACCTTTTGCATTAATTCCTGCTAAAAGACAGAATCCTTGCGTGTACTTATCTTACTGAGGAAGTTCTTGGAATCCTTACCAAAAACTACTCTCTGGCTTTTTGTCATCTACCCTTTGGAATGTGCCCTTTAGTCTATCTTTGCTGTTACCCCCCTTTAAGTTTGTCATGGTCCAATTTGAACTTCTAATAGCAAGGGTTGGGGAAGAGAACTGCAACTTCATCCTGTCTGACAAACTCATTCCTCACCCCGTGGTGGTAATTTGAATATTAATTACTTAATAAACAATTTTCTGAGATCTTACTAAAACAGGCATCTGTTCATCTATCACCTTGGGATCTGCTGGTTGGAACAGGCATGGGCTATTTATCAAGGACTTATCCTGAGCTGTAGAGAGGCACTTGCTCTAGATGAAATCCCCTTTCTGGGCATCTTATAACCAATAAAAAAAAAGTGTTGATGAAAGTAGTACAAAGTCCTATCTCCTGTGCCCCAAAATCAGGACAACTCTGTAAGGCCATTCTAGCTCTGAAGCTCCCTAAAGTAATAACAGAGTCATTTGCTATAACTGCATTGCAGTTCAGCCTCTTCTTCTGCCCTATTGTGCATGCTTCACCATCTCATGTCTATCTACAGAAATGATCCTGAGAGAACTGCCTAATCAATCTCAGGCAAGTCTCTACTGCAGACTCTATTTTTCCCTTAAAGTAGGATCTACAGCATCCATACCCCACTCATACCTGCTCCACTTCATTTTTCTCCTCTCCATAAATGACACCAGCACCGACCTCAGAATGTATGCTCTGAGGCCTTTCTAACTTCTGCCTCTAACTCAATTTTGTGTCACATTGGTGCCGAAATCCCAAGTTTCTCAAGTCAAGTTACTTTCCTCTGTTCCCCATTCGACTCCAGACAATCTTCAATCAGGCTACAATCTCACACTCTTCTTTAGTCCTACCACAACCTCCTAAGTCTCTTGCATTCTAATCTCAGTCTGCTCCAGTCCTTTCCACAGAACAGTAAGGTCTATTTTAGGTGCAAATACAATGTCCTTTTTAGAACCCCAGCCCCTAATGCCTTCAGAATAAAGTTCAAGGTCATTAATTCAACCCATAAGGCCATTTATGTAGTGCTCCCTCAGCTTCCAAAGTTCTCAGCTTACCAGTTCCTGAACTTTCTCTTATCCACACAAACATGCACACCTCCCCAAATCTTGTAGTCATGCTTTATTTATCATTTCTAGGCTTTGCACATGTTTTTTATCTTCTAAAGGAATACTCAGACTGTCCACTCACACTGATTAATCACCATATATAGCACCAGAAATTATTCTTGTCGATGTGTGTGTGTGTACGTGCGTGTGTGCGTGTGTGTGTGTGTGTGTGTGTGTGTGTGTGCATACTCTGGTTCTGAGGCTTGAACTCAGGCCCTTATGTTCTTTGCTTACAGCTGGAATAATAGCATTTGAATCACACTTCCCCTTCTAGTTTTTTGCTGGTTAATTGGCAAGAGCCTCTCAGATCTGCCTACATAGGCTAGCTACATGCCACAGTCCTCAGAATTCAGCCTCCTGCCTAGGATTAAGCTAGGATTACAGATGGACATCATAGGCAACTAGCTGAGAAGTTATTTCTGATCTTTAATACTGGCTAATTGCTCTCACTTTGTGCTTCCATTGTACTTTGGACTTAACCCTATTTGTAGCACAAAACATACAATGTCTCCATTGACCATTTAATTACCTATCTCTTAGAAATGTAAACTCTCTAAGAGCAGGGATTGCTCATAATTTTATCTTTAGCCTCCAACTCAGTCCCTCTCTTGGTTTATTCTTAGTAATTACAAATAGTTTTAGAATCAATGAGCTCTACTTAGTAGCAAAATGCATTCCAATTTCCTGATGCCCAGTTAGGACCTATTCCTGCTATTCAGTGAAATTTCCAACATAGATATCAAGAGGTTCAAAGGCAAAACAACAACAAAATGAAGAATCAGTATAATTGTCCAAATTATTCTCTTCCACAATTCACTTAAATGAAAAAGAAAAAGAAACCAGGCATGATGCACAATGCCTTGTAATCCTAGCTACTCCAGAGATCAAGTCAAGAGAATCATGAGTCCAAGGCTAGCCCCCACACAGGTAGCAACAACGTTAGGTGTAGGTAGTTCACACATGTAATCTTAGCTGATCCTTGCAAATCAGGAGGCTGAGACCTGAGGATCACAGCTGGAAGCAAGCCCAGGCAGAAAAGTCTATGACATTCTTATCTCCAATTAAACACCATAAAGGTTAAGCCCAAATACTTGCACACATACATACCAAACAAAAAGGTTAAAACAAAAAAAGCTGAGATATAGTTCATTGATAGAGTACTTGCCTCGCATGTACAAGGTTCTGGGTTCAACTCCCATCAATACACATACATAGACACACAGACACACACACACACTTGTATACACACTCATACACACAAAAGATCTACCCAGATCACCATTTATGCCTCAGTTTTCTAGGTAAATCAGTTTAAGCATGAGTCATTGGTCATAAGGACTTTGGCTTTCCCAGTTTACTTACAGGAAAAGACTCCATTTCTCCAAGGGCCTGAAATTATTGTATAAAAATTCTCATACTCCCAAACACAGCTGTGACCAAATTGACAAGGTGGCCCACTCCAAAGTGGCAGTCCTGCTAAATACACTTCTGTCCAAGTGCCATCTGCTTCCTGGTTCAGGCTGAGGAGGACAGAAATACTCCTTTGCTTCTTCCCATTGCCCCTTGTCACTCCACAATGCTATTTAATGCACTTGGTGCCTGTCTTTAAGACATTTGTCTAATTCTTTTCTTTAACAGCCCCATCCCAGAACTCTGATCTGGAAATAAGAATGCCTGTTTACTCTCCCACCACACTTGGGGATATATCCATCCCTCAGATCAACTAGTCTGGTATAGAAATTAGATGTCCATTGAGCTTTATGTTCTCCCACAGCTTTGGGAGCTGGTGGATGAAGTCAACTGAATGTCTATATTACTTGCAGCTATGGCATGGTGCAGAATGCCTAGATGATAAGAATTCTAATTAATTTACTTCAGATAACTTTCAGCTCACAACTACAGGCCGTAAGATTTCCCCTTGCATTTTCAGACCCCACCTCCTTCTCTGTCAGAAACCCTCCTTCCTTGCCACTGCCCTCCATATGCCTAATATCACTCCTTGTTATCCAATCTCCTTGATCTACAGCCTAACAGCTTAGTTTTGATGTCTGAGGAAATTCAAGCATAAGGTGAGTCAGGCTCTGCTGCGTCTGGCTGGGGCATTCGAGATTTCATTTCAACAGCTTTCAATGTGAGTAGAAATGTAAACGGATACCCGAGCCCTTCCTATCACATTGGGGACATGCAGACTAGAATATTTCACAGTGTCCAACCATGAAGTTGAAACCAGCATCAACACATACTTCCCCATGATGTCAGAGACAAGCACACTTGGGAGAGAGAGACAGACAGACAGAGAGAGACAGAGAGAGAGAGAGAAAGTGTTACGCAGTTATATCTTTTGGTACCAACTG